AATTGAAACCTACTGAATTCAGAATTTCCTGAATTAATTTTTTCACTATCTTTTATCCAAACAACCTCTCTAACAGATTCATCAGGTCAAGAGAGGATTTTAAAAGGCTAAAATGGCTTTTGGTACATTGAAGGTTAACTTTTTTGGGGGGCGGGGTATTTGTATATTTACTTACTTATTTGTTTAGTTTTTAATGGAGGCACCAGGGATTAAGCCCAGGACCTCGTGCATGCTGAGCACCTGCTATACCACTGAGCTGTGCCCTCCCCGCTGTGGTTAACTTGTCTTCATTTTTTTTGGTGATCAGTGTCATGCCAGCACATACAAATTCCAACTATAAAAAGGAAAACAAGGAACTGAGAGTGTCCTTTGATCTGACCTTCCGGGTAGAGTCACTAGGCCACAATGTGCTTGTTTCACTTAGTGGTATATTTGGAGTATCTCTTCCATTTCACTTCTTGGTGTATTAGGAGATACATTTTTAAAACTTATTAATGCAGTGAAGCCTGGGTAGTAAGAACAGTCATATCCACGATAATCTCTGATGTCATTTGTAAAAGTAATGGCACATTTAAAAGTGGCCACATTGAGTCAGGTCTCACCCAATCCTGCTCGCACCTGGTCAGAGGGGGACCCCTGTCTCCCTCCAGGAGAACTTAAAGACGTTCTGTTCGTGTACAGAAGAGAGAGAGAAGTGACAGGCAGCGGTGTAGACGCTGGGGTGCCCTCACCCGTGCGATGCTGCCTGCACCGTTTTATCCTCATCCTGTCCCCGATGTGGCCTTCCTCACTCACGCCACATCCTTTTGTTTGTCCAATCTGTGTGAGCGTCATGATCTTTCCTTTTGCTGCAGGAGGTGACGTGGGAACCCAGCTCTTCACACGTGATGAGGGCCGGGTCCTGGACTGACTGGGGCCCTGGAGCCGATGTCATTACTGAAGGCGTGTGAGGTTCTCCCCACCCAGGAACACGACCTGCCACGCCCTTCACTCCCTCACCTGTCCCTACCTTCATCCTTGCCACGCGGGCGGACACTCCTGCTGCCTGGAAGGGCTGCTCTGCCCCCAGCACTGTCCCTTTTCTCCCAGTCTTCCCAGATATTTCACCGTGCTAACTCCTCTAGACAAACCCACATCAGTTCTTCTAGTGCCACCAAAAAAAAATCAAACCCTGTTTAATTGAGGTTGTGTAACATTTGCAGAACATTTTTATGGAGTGTTGTTTATGTTACAAAGTCAGTTCCTCCCCCAGCTTCCCACGGGTCCCCTTGCTCCATTCCCTCCTTTCCTTCCGAGGAGGTTAAGACGTGCGTTTTACTGTCAGCGCTCCTCGGGGCTTTACCTTGTCGCCCTCTGTGCTGCTACACGTGCGCACATTTCAATAGGCTTCATGTACCATGTTACGTAGAGCCCTTCTCTTCCCATCCCACTGAGGTCTACTTTAACTGAGAGTGGATGTTAAATTTTGTCCAAAGACTCATTAATAATCTGTAGAGACAACCACACAGCTTTTTTCTTTTGACTTATCAACATGGAGAATTAAATATTAGATCTTTGGGTGTTAAGTAAACCAACCTTTCTGACTTGGATAAAACACAATTGTCCATGGTGTAGTCCTCTTTTAATATACAATATTCTTCTTTTAGATACTGACTTCTATTTACTAATAACTTTTCTGGATTTCATATTATTCTAAACACCAATTTGTACTTTTCTTTCTTTAGTCAGCTTGATACCCATGTTATTCTTTGTAAAGAAATGTCAAACTTATTTTGCTTAAATTCTATAGAACCTACTTTTGAAATGACTGGAACAACGCTGTTGGGTTATCTGCAGGGAGACGGGGCTGGTGCTCCTGGGGAAGATGCAGGTCCAGCCCAGGAGAGAGCAGGGTGCTCAGAGCCTGGAAGGGCAGAGGGGCAGGGGTGCTGTGATGGACCAGGATGCTCGTGCAGAGTGGAACAGGGGCACATCAGAGCGGGCTATACATGCCTGGACGCTGAGCATGAAGCATCGCGGGCCGGGGAACTGAGGGAGAGGGGTGGAGCCATGGGGCAAATCTCACCACGAGTCTGGGTGTGAGCACAGTAGTCTGTGGAGTAGAGGGGAGCCTCACCCACAGTCCCTGGAGCACCTGGTTCCTGAATCCGGGTGTAACACCGAGGAAGGGATGAAGCTGTACGAAGAAAAAAAGATGGCTTGTGGTCCTGAGAAGCCTCAAAGGTAGATACAATTTTATTGAAAAGACAAAGAAATGTGACTTTCCTTGAATAATATGAGCACCCGGCACACCATGTTGTTTAACGAATATTATAAGAATCTGAAAAACAAATTCTTTTCCTTAAAAGAGACTCAGTATTGTTCCAATCAGACCTGTCAATCACTGTCCCTGTGAGAGTTCTTACACCTGCAGCTTTTGACTTGTTATTTCTATAAAAAGGTGTGACTTTTCTCCGGTGACAAAGTAACATTAAACATATTACAACTTGGCTGTACTCCCTGGAAAGAGAGGAAATGTATTTTCATTTGTCTGGGAATGTCCCCACTACCACAAGAAAGCGTGAGTCTAATTCATCAACGATGCGTTACGATGGCTGTTACTCTGCACAGCGGAGACCTGCCAGATTGCAGCCCCATCTCTCCTCTTCCCAGAAGCTGCAGGAATGTGGGTCTTCCTGGTAAGGTCTCAGTAAGAGAAAAATATTAGCATTCGTGTGCATGTCATCAGCACACACTCCAGGTGGGGTTGGAATATGGAGCCGGGGTGCGTGAAAGCTATTGCCTGGGTGCAGTCTGGTGCAGAGGGGAAACTACCTGGTGGTTCCTGCACAATCTACTATTAACACAGTAAAGTCTCTTAAAACATTGAGATGAGGCTTGGGTCATGTGGTTGGCATCCAGGAGGGGAAAGAGGGGAGGGGGAGGAGGAGGGGAGGGAA